TAAGTTTCCCCAAATCGTCGAAACGACGTCGTTTTGTCGCTACACTAAACGATATCATTTTGACATAACAGAGAAGACAAACATGAATTTAGTTTTCCGTTAGCCTACTTAACGCTATGACTAAAATGGCTAGTCAACCAAACTTTGTTAATTAATTTTAAAGTCAACAAAAACTTTACAATTTATATATCTTCTTCGTAGTTAATGATTAAATCGTCCCAAATTTGAAAGTTCATGATTTTTTTGACATTTTTCCCTGATAACATTTATGGGAGATTTTCTAATGTAGATGCTCTACATCAACTTGTTTTTTAGGTTGATTTCTTCCTCTATATAAGTGATATGTGACGACAACGATTTGCAGAATATTTCATCTTTTCCAACAATGTGAGATCATTTTTTTTTATTAATTACGTTTCATTATATATACTTGGTCTAAATTTAATCATGTTTAGCCCCAAAAAATTAGAGGTTTTTTGGTATGTATTTCTTAATTTCGTCTTTGAACCATGTTTTATACTTTTTCAGGTTATTGTGTCTAATGTTGGAGTTAATACTAACTACAATGAAAAAAAAAAAATGTATTCATAATGTTTGACACATTAATTTGTTTCATTAGACGTTTGTGGGTATCTCTTTCCTAATTTCAATACCTATATATCTTTGAACATTTTCTATGTTTGTTAGAAAAAAATAAAAATTAAATGTTGTGCTTTTAATGTGATGTGGTAGAACAAGCTTATAATTGGTTATCGGATGATACAAATGAGTCTCTCCATTCTTTTTAAGAAGCAAAGACTATAAATCTATCTTCTAATAGCATGCATCTTTTAACCACTATTATGTATTTTCCTTTTGGACCAATATAAATATAACCCGAAAAAAGGACATTGTATTTTACTATCATATAAAAAAACATGTTATTAACCTTGTGTTGGTTGTTATGTCTTTTTTTATATCATTGTAAAGTATAAGTTGCATTTTGCAATGTATACACAATTTTCAGCAACATAATTTAATTGAGAATATATTTTTATGCAGTAAAACAATTATATATTTCATACTCAGCCACAAGCCACAACGGTATATTTATTATATTAGATTTCATATTATTTTCATCATCAAACTTTCATCAAAACTATTTTTATTTGGTTTTGAATATCTAAAAAAACAATTTATGCTAATGGGGCAATGCGATCGCATTTTTAAACTCAGCTATAAATAAATTATATTCTTTAATTCTTTTTATTTGTGGTATTTCGTGAACTTTTCAAAAGGTATGGTCCTTTTAAAACAATATTAAAGATATTATTTATTGCTTTGTAGATTAGAGCTTTTTATTATTTAAATCATCATCATACATTAATTTATTAGTGCTTTTATTATATTAACTATTATCACAGCTACCATTTTGTTGTGATACAAAAGTCTAAAGTATCTATGATCATTTATATTATTTAAACTTGTATAAGTAAATGAAAAAGAAGTTGAATTTTATGATGATTATGTAAATATTGGCTCATCAATGTAAGTGGACAAAATTATACTGTATGTAATTAATCAAGAGTCAAAAGCTAATAAATTTCATAATAACGATTCGTTTCAAAAATATAATAATGCTTTTGAATCTGTCCATTTACACAAGGCTTCAAGTTTGAGTTAGATAATCAATCTTATAGTTTAGAATTTGGTCTTAATATTGTTTTTCTAGATGAAGAAAATATAAAATATGTAAGCAAAAGACTCTATAAAAAATGTAAGCTAAAAACTATTAAAGACATGAAAATATGGTGGAGTGCTAATTGTTGCTACATATTGGTGACAGGATGTGGAGTGCTACCTTCCTATAACTAATTGGTGTGTGCTTGTTATAATACGAAACACATTCGTAAGCTAGGTTCGAGCATATTAAGCAACCTTGTGAGGGACTTAAACACTTGGGATCACGAGGTACAACATTCAGATTTAGAATCGGATGATGTTCGGGTTTTTTTTTGTTTGGATTTAGATAATTCGGATAGGAGTGTTGCGAATTATGTCCTAAAATCATTTATATCTTCTTGGATTTTCCTTCGTATTACATTTTCTTCGCGTAAGTCGGCTGCGAGCTTCGTATGTATTTTTCCATGGACCGATTATCAATTTACTAAATTTACTCAGTTTAGTCCAATTACTTTTAGTTTAAGTCCGGTTTGTCGAGAGGTGCTAAATCTTTCCCCAACAATAACCATCTTTTTTACAACCTCTTAAAAAATCGTTAACCACTTTTTCTGAAAGTGATCACTAATCAAACTCATCAACATCAAGTTCATGTATTTACTTAGATATGTATAATTCAATTTAATCGTATGCAAAAAAAATAACCTTATACGTAAAATTTCTTAGTACTATTAATTAATGTAATAATCCATTAATTTCTTTAAAAAAATTACTAAAATTTTAAAATACCCCTTCAAAAATCTCAGATTTAGTTCCAATTAATAAACATATTGAAAATCCAGTTGTAATAATAACCCTCTAAAAAGCAAATTTCATCAGCAAATAAATACTTTTTCCAAAAAAATCCTAATTTAAGTAATTTACTAAATGCAATTGAAAAAACATGAGCCGCGCTTAGTCTTTTTCCGTTTTAATATTAAAAAAAAAAAAACTATCTGTCTTCTCTTTTTCTTCTTCTTCTTCTCCTTCCTCGAAATTATTGCGGTTACTGTCGTCTTCCTCCTTCCTCCTCTCCGGAATCGAAGCTCACGACGGCGACGGTAACGGCATCGGAGAGAGGTGGTTGTGGTTCGTTTTTACCTACATTTCGTGAAGAGAAAGGCTTTTAATTTCAAATTCATCGGTGAATACTTCTTCTTCTTCTTCATCGGAAGAAGAATCCAAAAAACTTATCTCATCTGCAAAAAATAAACTGTGCTTCCCCATGGATTTGTCGCTTTTGTTGGTACATTAATCCTCTCTCTTTCTCGTTTCTCGATGTTTTTTGTTTATTTAAAACTTTCTCGAACTCTTCACGATATTGCCGGAGAAGCCGGATCCATGCTCTTTTCATGATTTTGCTTTCTTCAACTTTCTCTATTATTCATAATTCTTCATTTCTCTAGAAATTGGAGTCGTTTCTCTTTGATGAAATCTGATACATCTCTGTTGATTTTTGCTTGTTCAACAGCCATAACGAAGCTGGGAAATTTCTGGGGGAGCATATAAATTCAGGTACAATTTAGGGTTTTTTTTTTTGGTTTCAATCCGTGTTAAAAAAATCGCTAGGCGCTAGTCCGGCGGTGAGGGTGGCTAGGGGTTTCAATAAATAAATTGTTTGTTTGTTTGTAGCAGAGTAGCAATGTCATTGAAGAACATAGTAAGAGAGTTTAGGGTGAAGAACAAATGCAAAGCTATTGGTAGAAGAGGGAGGTCACATATTGCACCAGAAGGATCATCTGTGTCTTCTTCTTTATCAACTAATGAAGGTTTAAATCAGAGTATTTGGGTTGATTTGCCTCCAGAGTTACTTCTTGATATAATCCATAGGATTGAGTCTGAACAGACTTTATGGCCTGCGAGGAGAGATGTCGTTGCTTGTGCTTCGGTTTGTAGGTCTTGGAGGGAGATGACTAAAGAAGTTGTTAAAGTTCCTGAGGTCTCTGGTTTGCTTACGTTTCCGATTTCTTTAAGACAGGTTTGTTAGTCTTTAAACTCTAGAAAGATTAGTTTTTCGTATGATTGATTGTTCATTGTCTAAAACATTGGATTCTTTGTCTTAGCCTGGTCCTAGAGATGATCCAATTCAATGCTTTATTAAACGGGAAAGAGCTACGGGGATATACCGTCTCTATCTCGGTTTAAGCCCTGGTTAGTTTACTATATCTATCAGCTTCTTGTGAATAGAGTGTGGACTATATAATGTATCACCTTCGTCTGTTATAATTGCAGCTCTTTCTGGTGATAAGAGTAAGCTGTTGTTATCTGCAAAGAGAGTCAGGAGAGCCACGGGTGCGGAGTTTGTTGTATCCTTATCGGGAAATGACTTCTCAAGAAGTAGTAGTAATTACATAGGAAAACTGAGGTAAAGTCTTGTTTTTTCTTCGTCGCCTTTGTTGTTCTATATGATCACCATATCCATTTATTATAAGCCTTGTTGTGTGTGGACAGATCCAATTTCCTGGGAACCAAGTTCACAGTCTACGAAAACCAACCTCCTCCGTTTAACCGGAAACTCCCACCATCAATGCAAGTGTCTCCATGGGTATCGTCGTCATCTAGTAGTTACAACATAGCTTCCATCTTGTATGAGCTGAATGTTCTGAGAACCAGAGGTCCAAGAAGAATGCAATGTATAATGCACAGTATCCCGATTTCGGCAATTCAAGAAGGCGGCAAAATCCAGTCGCCGCCAACCGACTTCATAAACCAAGGAAAGAAGAAGAAGAAGCCGCTGATGGATTTCTGCTCAGGGAACCTGGGAGGAGAATCTGTTGTAAAAGAACCATTAATTCTGAAAAACAAATCTCCGAGATGGCACGAACAGCTCCAATGCTGGTGTCTCAACTTCAAAGGTCGAGTCACAGTCGCCTCGGTGAAAAACTTTCAGCTAGTGGCAGCTGCTGCAGAAGCAGGGAAGAACATGAACATTCCAGAAGAGGAACAAGAAAGAGTGATATTACAGTTTGGGAAGATAGGCAAAGACATTTTCACAATGGATTATCGTTACCCGATCTCTGCATTCCAAGCATTTGCCATTTGTTTAAGCAGCTTCGACACGAAGCCGGTCTGCGAATGAAGCAAACATATCATATCAATTATATTCTTCTATTTGCAGTTTGTGTGGTTTAATCAATGTACATACTTTTCCCTCTTGGAGCAATCAAACAATCAGATCTTTTTCATTCAAACTTTAATTTCTTCTTAAGTTTAATTAAAAGTAATTAACTTTTGGTTTAGGCAAGGTATGTCTTAGTCTTTCATTGGAAGTAAAGAGTCATCACCTTACATTATTACAAAACCCCATCCATGTTTCTGTCTCTGTTTCATTTATTTTTTCGATAAAACAACATTTTAAACCTATTAAGATAAAAGAATGAAAGCTTTTGTGAGAGGATTATTAGCAAGAGCTTATGAAGTCCCAAAGATTCAGACGAAAGTATCGGCCAGTTTTGGTTGCGTAACGTCGCCTCCGCCACCGGAGAAAGGATTGGAGAATCTGACGGTGGCGGACGTGCTCTCCACAAAGGACGCTGACGTTGATACGTGGATCTCTTGCCGTACGAACGACACTGTTTCGGACGCTGTTAAGAATGTTCGTTCAAACTTGTTTCTTTTTCTAACTTTTTATTATTTGCTCATTACGTTACATACACTGATACACATTACTTTAGTTAGTACGAGTCACGTTTACGTACTTGCATCGGAATACCCACGAAAACGAGATTTTCAAAAGAAAAATTATAGAATTTTTGCCTAGTCCACGTTGTTTGTGCCCCAGCTAATAAGACGACTATCTATATATGCAGTTAGTTTATGTCATGCATACACGTATACATATATGTCAAATTGTCAATCTTATATCGGACCAATGTCTTCGAGATCTATTTCTATTTTATGTACAATAAGTAATGAACACATATTTGTATTTTATGTGATGCTTACACTGATAAACGTATATAGATATACATATGTCAATAATCGATCCAATTAATGACTTAGGGAAATGGTCTCAATAAAAATTAAATTGCAACTATGGTTCATCGAGATTAGTGATCTACCTTGTTGCATATAAATATCATATATTAGCCAGTTTCATATTCATATGATGATTAAATCTTTAGATTATTTTGGTTTCTATTTTTTTTTCTTGTTTTGGAATTTGGATATTATTATCCAAAAAAATATGCGTAGATCACTAATCTCGTTGGTCGTGTTAAAAAAAAAAAAAAGCAGATGGCAAAGCATAATATTGGATCGTTGGTCGTGTTAAAACCTGGAGACCAACAATATATCGCAGGAATTGTCACAGAGAGAGGTATAAGCTTTCTTTAATAGTATTCTTTCTACGGCAATTTAATGTTAGCGGCTATATATGTACTCACCATAATAAATTGATTGTGAAACAGACTATATGAAAAAGATCATTGGGGCAGGAAGATCATCAAAGCTTACAAAAGTTGGAGACGTTATGACAGACGAGGTCAGAATAAACAAAAGATCAAACTCTTAATTAAGTTAATTTTCAATTTGGAAAATTTTCATTTATCCACTTAATTTTAAGTAAAAGAATTGGAAATGATTTTGGCCAGAGCAAGTTGGTCACTGTTTCATCTGGGACAAACATAATCAAAGCAATGCAGCTTATGTCAGGTAGTTTACTATACATACTAATTAACATACATATATCTTTCGTATATATAAATATTGAATCGAAGATGTAAATTATGTTTAACATGGACAGAAAATAAACTTTTCTTTTTATAATGATGTAGAGAATCACATAAGACATGTACCGGTGATTGACGGAAAGATAGTAGGACTGATCTCTATGGTTGATGTGGTTAGAGCCATTGTGGACCATCAAAATGGAGAGCTCAAACGCTTGAATGAATTCATCAAAGGAGACTATTATTAGTTTAGAATCCACATAAGAAAATAGAATGCTTCCATATTACTATCAATTATTATGTAACTACTTACTATCAATAATTTCAAAGTAAGTACTTACGACTGAAAATGGACTAATTATTTAATATATGGAAAGTGAACAAACCACAGAGAAGTGGACTATAGCTGACCAAAAAACCAAAGAATACAATTTCAATTTTGGTTCGGTTCCATCCAACTATCCGCAATTTAAATGGGCAGATTCATTACTGGGCTCAAAGCCCAATGGGCTTAATTTAAATAATTACAGGGTTCAATTTAAGGGTTTTTGCCATTTCTCTCGTCTCTCAATCTGCGATTCGCCATTTCTCTAGTCTCGTCTCTCAGAAATCGTTGATTCATCTTCTACCTTACACTGTGAGTTCTTCGTCTCCAATTGTCTCTGAGTTAATTTGTGTTTGATTCGTTTTTTCTTCGATTCTGCGATTTGATTTGACTAAATTAGGTTCGATTTCGTTCTTTGTTCGGATCTGAGACAGTTTTATATGTTCGATTTTGGTTTCATTTAGGCTTTAATCCTGTAAATCAAGCTCGAGCTTGCGTCTTTAGGTTTTGCTCTTCATTTGTTTTTTCTACTCTTAAGAATTCACTTCTTCTGGTTCTACAATTTTAGAGACTATTTGTTCAGATTTTGGAATCTTTCTCTGCAAAACTAGTCTTCGTTTTCTTTGTTTGATTAGTCACTTAACCTGTAATTGATTAGTAACAACATTGTACAAACCTCTCTCAGTTGTCATATAAATGTGTAATTGTTAAGTGTTTCGTGGGTTAATCTCTCTGGTATCTTTGTTAAATGCCTAGGATTGAATCTGTCGACGAAAATGTGATATATGAGTGTGTATATAGGATAAGTTCAGTTGAAGTAGCTTTGTGGGAAACTTGTTTTTGATGCTGCAGATTGAGTGATTCTTTGTTTTTTTGGTTTCTGGTTCTTTAGTTGGTTGAGGGAGCTATTATGGGGAGAAAGGCTGGAAATTTGTACATTAACCCGAAAAAGCTCGGGAATTTGGCGAAACCGTGTATGAAGGAAATGGTGTCGTTCTTGAACTGTATGGCGCTTAACAATATCAAAGATGATAAATGTGAGAAACAGAAGCAACTCCTGAGTGTTTGTATGCAGGGCCAGGTTAATATCTTTGCATTTTGCAACCGCGTTTTATACTTTTATTTGTCGGTGCCTTTTGTGAAATGATGAACTTTGTTGTGTTTTCTGCTTTGCAGTCGGATCATAAGAACAAGTCTTGGGGTAACATTAACTACCATTTGCAGAGGCTAACCCGTGGAAGAAAGTAATCTAAGCATGGATCTTGTTATCCATAGACCGATAGATGATTCGGTTGTTGATCTCTTCATTTGTCTCTCTGTTCTTTGACGTATTTCATACGTACAAGTTACTGGCATGTAGAAGAAGAACTTTTGGACACATTGTTCATCGAGAGAAAGGATTTTTTGGTGTCTTTGTTTTGCAATAAACATGTCTTCTGAGTCAAGGCAGAGAGATCCATTAGTGTTAATGATGTTTTGGCATACGATTATGCTTTGTTTAGTTGAAATTAAAAAGGAGATGTACCAAATTGCAATTAAAACATTGACTATAAGAATCCTATACTATTATTTGGGGAGTACACTTTATAAGATACACTTTATAATAAGTCAATTTATACAATTTAATTAATTATAAAAACGAAAAATACATTATTATTATTTTTAAATGACCAATCAAAATGAATATATAAGATTTGATATCTAACTTACCTTATTAATTTGTTATTAATCATTATATTTAACCTCTCATCTTTATATGATTATATTATTGTGAAACAAATAAATCATCATATCATCCATACAATAATAAAATAGATTTTTTTCCACATATGCCATGATTTGAATTTATAAAAACGAATATAAATTATTCAATTTATGAAAAAAAAAATTAACGAATCAAAAATTTAGACTTGGATAATATATTTCTTTTAAACAAAAATAAATTCAACAAAAATTCCGCCTGAATAACGGGTCAGAATTTGAGTAATTATATTCAATAAGAGTTTCAAACTTTCAATAAGGTACAAGTGAATGCAACAGAATTGTTTACATATTTTTCTTGATAAACATTTATCATATTGTTAAGATAAATGTTTACTAAAAGCTTTCGATCATTTTCACTCTGAACCGGGTGTTTTCACTAAACCGCCAGGATGCCTAAAAAAACATAAAATAAAAAATGGTTAATGATACAAATGATATCGATAAATTGAGAATAGTCCATCAGATCAACCAAGCTTTGACATCATTTTTAAAAATATGAGTTTTTAAATTTAAAACAAATTGATAATAAAATAAACTAGTCTATTTTCATTTTCATTGTGCATTCTAAATAGTGATAAAAAAATGTTTTTTTGTTTGTTGAAAAAAGTGATTATGGTATTATTACAAACAGTTTCTAATAAAATAAGAAGTAAATAGAACCTGTTTTAAAATGTCTTATAATCATTCTATATGTGAAAACTATATCAGTCAAAATATTTTTGCAATGTGGACCATTCTTCTATTCCACCATTCATCAAAGAAATCAGTCAATGGCTATGAATGGCAATCAATTTTAAAACTGGTTTTTAGTTTTTAGTTTTTGGCTTTTGGATTTTTTTTTTTTTTTTGCTATAAATAAAAAAAAAAATCAAAAATCAAAACTAATGTCGGTGGAGAAAGAAAAAAGCTTTTGACAAAAAATCTTTAAAATCATGGTTTTAGTTTTTCTTTGATACTTGGCTGAACCACTCAAAAAAATATTTTTCGTACATTTTAAAAGAACTATTAAATGGTGAGAAAATAGATTTTTAAAGAAACAAAAACCAAATAATTCACTTAAAAACTAGAAACATTTGCCTTGATTGAATTTGAAAGAAATTGTAATAATCACAGATAGCCATTTTTTTTTTCATTAAACGAGCAAAAATAAATAGTTGATATTTTGGAACCCTAATATAAAAATGAAATTCCTTTACAATTCCAAAATCATACATTACCTGATAAATTTTGACGTTAAAGAATAAACAAATAAGAAAAAAAAAAAACCTGATTTTGCTAGTAGCCCAATCAGCCCATGACTTTGCCCCTTGAGCAGCCTCTCCGGCGCTGCTTTTAAAACTCGAAGCGGCAGCCTCCGCGGCAAGGGTCACCTCATTGGCCGTCACTTTCACCGGTAACTCTTCCGCCGAAACCCTTGTCATAACCATTGTCACCATAAGGATTATCGTAAAGAATTTTACTTTTTCCATTTTTGCTTGCACGATTTGCACCTATTAAAAATTTAGAAAATTATTACTATTGATTATGATTTTTGTTTTAAGACAAATATTTTGTTAGATTGATTTGTCTCCTATATGACAAAGGAAGTGTACTATTTATAGGGATATAAGAGCGACTTAAAAGGCAAAAAGATCGGAACACAGTTTTATTGTTAATAATATTTTTGATTTACCTAAAATTTGAATGTCTGTATGTTTTCAGTGATTTAATTTCTTTATTTTTTTTACCAATAATATTGATAAATTTTCATGTCTTATCCTAATACCATCACTCGTGTCCCTTACCGTTAATCCCTTCCCATCTTTTTTTTTGTTTTAAATCTTTGTTCTTTCCCAAGCTCCCGACACTAATTTCATGTCTCGGACCACCGCAAGTGACGGGGTTAGGTTTTATTTTATTTTTATTTGTTGATAAAGTATTGAGGTTAGTTGTTGTTGGAATTGAACCTTTGATTAAACCTGCAGAAGAAGAAGAAGCTTCAGCGAGAAGAAGAAGTGCTCATAGAGCAAAGGCAAAGGAAGAATAAGAAGAAGTCGTGACAAGGTCAACGACACATAGAGAAGAAGGAGCAAAGTCAACAAGAAGAAAGGTGTTGGGCTTTGTGTGGTTTGGTCCTAAGAAGACTAATGGGCTACGTTTTTGGTTAAGGCCCAAATTAAAGGAAGTGTGTTTTGTTAGTTAAAGTGCTAGCTAAAGACTAGAGTTGTGTTGTGTAAGAGTTGTTGGTTAACCTTGCTTGTGAGCTTGGTTATAAGCTTAGGTAATGATGTGTAGAAGTAAGGTCTAGGTCTAAGTAGAAGTATGGTTGCAAATGTGTGTGGTCAGTAGAAAAACCACTATATCTATGTGTGTGTGTCTTGTAAGAAAAGTATCCTTTGATCCAATAAACAAGATGTAGACAATTAATTGTTTCTCTCTTCTCTCTTACTAAACGTTTGTGTAACAATCAAAGAGAGTAAAGAGAGAACAAGGTAATCTCTGTTTCAACAACAAAAGAAACAGAGAGATACTAAAGAGAGTGTGAGAGATGGTGAACCTCTAAAGGTTAAATAGAGGAAGAACCTGAAAATGCAACAGTTGTTCTAGAGAGATTGGCGACACAATCATCTCTGGTGCCTGTGTCTGTGTGAATGCTTGAAATGTGGATGCTACTTGAGAAACCCATTTTAATCTCATCGGTGTTGAGGCTATCGCCAGGAGCTGTTATAGCGACTCCGGTAATGTTGAAGAGATGGACGGAGAAAAAGTAGAAGTGTCCCATTTTGCTTTTGAGTGATTTTATTCTTTGGACACCCAAGTCATTAACAAATGCAAACCCCATGGCCTATAAACAAATTAAAAGACTCCAGAGGAATAAGAGGGTTCCAAAAATAGACTCACTTATGATGAATATAATCAAGATTAGAAAGCACTAGGTATATTTCTTCTACCCTATCTATACTAGTATTTTTGCAGTCACTTTGGTGACGGGTGGGTAAAAATGCTCCCGGGTTATTTGGATATCCGACCCGTTTCAAAAAATCCTTCACAAAAAAATTTGTTGGGTCAGGTTATATTTAACCCATCTCATACACCGAATATTCCATATTTAATAATTTAGATATTTAGAAGATTTGATTAAGATTTAGAATTATGATTCTCCTATCATCTTTGTTTGATTTGTTTTTAACTGTTTTGAATCATCATATAATACATAAAGTAAAAAAAAAAATCAATTTTTTCTACATATACTGTGATTTGAACTTTTTAAAACGGACATATATTATCTAATTGACGAAAATGTGTGTTCAACGTTCTACATCGATTAAAATATTTAGACAATGATTCAGAATCATATCATAAATAAGATCAACATTAATAAAATAAATATGGTTTTTGGCCGGACGGGTTTGGCGGGATGAGTTTTTGAATCAACAATAATAATAAGATTAAAATATCATTAATCCGCCGCTTCAATACGGATTAAATCCTTTTTTTTAATACCTCTAATATTAGACATATTAAATCAGTCTCATTTAGAAAAGATTGTATAAAACCAAAAATTGTCCCGTGGTATAATGTTACTTAATAACAATATTTATAAAATTTTAAAATATCTTTAACATGCCTCTTAAATACATATCAAATCTTCAGTTTATTAAAATATAAATGTCTTAGAGAATGATATGATTGGTAAACTTTTATATATAATAAATAATCATTAAATTTTAAAATAAAAACAAATCACGGGATGGGTTAACAAATTACGGAATGGGTTATATTTCGGAAAGGATTTATATGGCGGACGAATTTGAATCAATATTTATATACCGCTTTAATATGGGTTAACTCCTCAGTTTATTGATAATTGTCTCGTGGACTCGTGGTATACCGTTACTTAATAACAATTGTAAACTATAATATATAAAAATATGTTATAAGGAGATACAATTTATAAAATATTTTTATACTAAGTTTAAAATTAAATCATCCCGCGGTGTATAGCGAGTTAAAATCTTGTGAATATAGTATTATAAACGTATTAGAGCATGTCCAAAAGTGGGCTCTTAATTAGTGGGACTGTTAAGTGTATTTGTGTAAATAAATCGATCCCTTGTTTCTCTCTCTTCATCCTCCTCTCTCTCTCTCTCTCTCTTTTACGCGTTACTCTTCGACTAACCGGAAGCGATTCGACTCAAATCGGGAACAATCGAAGGAGACTCCGATTATTGTGACCTCCGACTCAAATATTAAACCAAAATTTCTTTCTTTTTGTCTAGTTTTATACCTTAAACACTTTGCTAGATATATGTTGTAACCAAATTTTTAAAGACCAAAACACTTCAAATCTCGTAACTTTGAAATCTCGTAAATATGATGGCCACTAGAACTCGACTTCGTGATCGAATTATGCATCAACAATTGAAATCTGATTTGGTTGAACATATATGGACAAAATTTGGCAACAATCAAGTATGTTGTAAATTGTTTATCATGTATGTTTCAAATTTTATCATTTGCAATAATTATTAAGTTTTCTAAAATTAAAATTGTTTATTTTATTTCTTTTTTAAATTAATTTTTTTTCCTCTAAGAACCACAACTTAAGAGTTTACCATTGGACATACAAAAAATTTAAAACCTTACACAACCTAATTATAAATTTTTCAAAATTAATTTTATAACAAATCATAAGAACAAAATTAAGAGACTACCATTGATGATGATCTTAGTATATATTGTTTCTTTTGAAACAATTTTCATCTTCATAGTTTATTTTTATTTTATACAGTTTAACACTAAGTGGGTGATTGGTTGGGGTGTAGCTACAAATTAATTGCTGTAAGATTTTGGCTGTAGCTGTGTTAACTGTAGCTGTAGATTTTTTTTGATGTAAATATGTTAGCTGTAGTTGTAGGATTTTTGTAAGACAAATTATGATTGGTAAATACTAATTTTGTGTTGTACATTTTTACATAATTTTTTTTCATGAATAATTAATAAAATTTATAGTTAATATGAAAATAATATCAAATTTGGTTTAACAAAAAGAAAATACTATATATTTGATATGTACGCAAATAACAAAGTTTGTATGCTTATATGAAATATAATATAGTATTGGTTTTCTTAGTTTGCGTATAATATTATTATTTTCATTTGACTTCATAATATTATCATGTATTTAGTATTTACTGTTCAACATATATGTAAACAATAGAATAAAATAAAATAAAATAAAATTTTTTTTTTTGCTACAGCCTTCTTACAGCCGAAATAATGAAGCTGTAGAAAATTTGGTTTTTACAGCCAAAACAAAAAATAAAGGGTGTAAATTTAAAAGTTAAAGTAAAGCATGATTGGTGAGTTATGAAGGCTGTAGAAAAAACTAGGGCTGTAAGTACTTTCTACAGCCCAACCAATCAAGCACAAAATCAATGACGATGCAAGAACAAATTGTTGAACAAAATCATGTCATGTTTTTCAATAGAAGGTTTAAACTTTTGGGAAATCTTTTTATGAAAGAGACTTAATTGGGCTAAACTTCGATATATCTAATGCTACATTTGAAACAATTTATAATAAAGATTAAAGATATCGTACCACATCTAGCTAGTTTAGGACAATTAGTGTTCTTATGTTAGTCCTTTGAGTGCGAAGACTGGTTTTTTGTCCGTCGAGTTTAATGACCTTTGCGGGGGATCAGGCCCGGCCCAACATAAACAGGGACCCTAGGGCAAAAAAAAAGTTTTTGGCCCTTTAAGTATTTTTAATAGTTTTTTTTGGCTTTTTTTGGTACTTTCTTTTAGTAAAATAAATATATATTTCAAATTTTAAAGTTTTTTTTTATATTTTTATAACTAAAATTTTGACATTTTTTTTATCAAATTTTTGGATTTAATATTTTTCTAAGAATCTGGACCCCATTTATGTGTATTAAAAAATATATTTGGGCCCTTTTGTATATATATTTTTCAAAAAATCACTTGGCCCTCTGCCCACCCCTTTGGGCCGGACCTGCCGGAGATACATGAATTGTCGATGTATATAAAATATTGGAAGATGGAAGATGATAATATCTGGTTGCATGAGTCAGTAAAGTTCCATCGATGACAAATTCAAATTTACTTTTACATTGCACCACAAACTCTACACCATCAAGATAGAATGTTCTTTTTAGTACATATATTTTATTATTACCACTTCTTGAGAATGCATTTTTCCACACATTTATGAACGCCTTTAAGAATATATTTGTAAGTTAATTATATATCCATAATACACTTTTTCAAAAAGAGTTTTACTTCAAATAATTTTTGGGTTATGGTAATGACAAATTTTACAAACACATCTCAAAACCAATTGTAATATAATGATCAATGAATTCACCAAAATAAATATAATGATCAATGTTGGGCCAAAGCTCGCGGACTTGCTCGGCCCAGCCCTGAAAAACAGCGGGCTCGGGCTTGAAAATATATGTCCAGAAAAAAATCGGGCCTTCCGGGCTAAGCCCGTTGGGCTAAAGGGTTTTTTAGGGCTTAGCCCGGCCGGGCTCGGACCGGCCCGAAAAGCCCTTAAAAAGATAT